ATAATACTGGAATACTAAACAAAAAAAAAAACTGTAACACTTCATGTTTCAGTGACAACCAGGAAATGATTATCTTGGTCTTCCCAGCAACTATCAAATTTTTAGGATCATGGAGTACTGGGATGATCAAAATCTCCAACTAATGTGGAAAATTCTCACTGTATTAGTAAATAGTATCAACTTCCTTCCCAAGTAATTCTTTTTTTCAAAATGTCAATATCGTTCTTCTCTATACCTCATACATCTGCTAAGTGTTATCAATGCTAAAACAAGTTTCCACTGAGTCCATTCTGATTCATGATGACCCATGTGTGTCAGAGAATAACTGCTCCACAGAGTTTATAATGGCTGACTTTTCAGAAGTACATTGCCATTCTTCTGTGGCTCCTCTGGGTGGACTCAGACCTCCAACCTTCCCATTAGCTGCCAAGGGCATTAACCATTTGTATACATCACCCAGGGACTTCCTTATCAATCCTACTTCCTTTATTTTCCTTGAATCAGCTTCACTTCTACTTGTTAGCTCAGATCTATATTACTTTGTTACAATAGGATATAGTAAACATCCAATAAGTTTCACTAGGTTTCAACAAATTTGCTCATCTTACAATCACTGCATCATTTATACACTCATTTATTCACTCATTTACTCAATCATTTTTGAGATCAGTACTGATGAAGATTTTTAAGTTCAAATGACAGAGAAAGCAGAAGGAAATGGGCATTACAGAAATTAAAGAATCCATTGTGCAAAGTGACTGTTTCCCCACTTTATGATATTGTCATGCTTTACTTAGTAAAGTGTTTCTCATTACATTTATTTTTAAGAATGTAAGTAGGAAAGAAAAAAAGGACTATTTCCCTTTGGGCTAAAAAAACCTCTATTAAAATAGCTATTACTTACTAAGGAAGACAAATGAAACAGAGGAAGATATAGGATATAAACACTGGAAAGAAACACTGAAATTGTCACTAGTTCTAGATAATAAGTTGTGTACTGGTCAATCAATAGAACCACCTGAAAAACTGTTAGTCAATGAGAGTTTAGTAAAGTAGCTGAGGAAAAAATCAATAGCCTTTACATATAAAAGTAATACCTAATTAGAAGCTTTATTGAAATAAAATACTGTATTTAAAATAGCAACAAAAATGTATTTAAAATCATAGGAATAAACTTCAAACAAATTCAGACTTATTTGAACCAAACTTTAAAACACTATCGGTACACATACACACACAAGAACAAGTAGAAAGGTATAATAGGTTCTTGGATAGTTTCAAAGTGATCTACTCATTTAATGTACTCTCAATAGTAGTAGATGTTTTAAGAAACTTAAAAGCTGATTATAAATCACATATGGAAAAAGAAACAATTTGTATAGCCAAGAATATTCTGAAAAAGAATAGTATTGGAGTGTGGGTAGGGCTGTGGCCAAACTACTATACTTAAAACATCATGTGTGGGCACATAATAAACAATAAAAAAACAAAAACCAAACTCATCACCATTGAGTAGATTCCAATTCATAGTGAGTGACCAAATAGGGCAGGGTAGAACTGTCCCATAGGGTTTCCACGGCTATAAAATCTTTACAGAAGATTTACATATACAAATAGGTTAAAAAAAAAAAATTTAAAAAGGCTGCTGCAGAGTGGCTGATGGATTTGAATCACTGACCTTCTAGTTAGCAATTGATCTTTTTAACCACTGCACAACCAGAGCTCCTTAATAAACAGTAGTGTGTTAATAAGATCTTTTTCTTGGCTTTCCCCGAAGTTATTTCTTTCTCCATTAGCCTTTTGGTCTTGTTTCAATTTCATGTTCTGATGGAGCCCTGACAGAGAAGGTCCAGAAATAGATCCACACACAGAAATATGGTATGAGATAATGATGACTTTTCAAATATACAGTATAGGAACAAATGGGTAGTTACTATAGATTGAATTATTTCCCTTAAAAAGATATGTTGAAATTCTTAGTTCTCTATCTGTCAACATGGCCTTGTTTAGAAACAGTGTCTGAACATGTTATCCAGTTAATATGATGTCATACTGGAGTAGAATGGGCCGTACTCTTACATGACTGGTATCATTATAAAAGAGGAGAAGATATACAGAAACAGAAAAACAGACAGAGAAAGGACAATTTGTGATGCTGTACTTGCAAGCCAAGGAATGCTTGGAGCTACCAAAAGCTGAGAGAGAGGAATGCAACAGTTTATACCTGAAAGCCTCAGAAGGAATCAACAAGGCCAACACCCTGGTCTCAGATTCCAAGCATTTAGGACTGTGAGGTCAAAAGTTTCTGTTCTCACAAGCCACTCAGTTTGTGGTATATTGTTATGGCAGCCCTATAAAACTAATACTAAATTCTGTTAACAAGAAGTGGGGTGTTGCTGTAAGAAATACCTAAAAATGTGAGAGTGGCTATGGAATTAGGTAATTGGTAGAGACTGGAAGAGATGTGAGGAGCTCTGGGGCACAGTGGTTAAATCACTCAGAAAGGTTGGCGGTTCGAACCCACCAGTCACTCTGTGGGAGAAAGGTGAGGCAATCTGATTCAGTAAATATTTATCACCTTGAAAACCCTATGGGCCAGCTCTACTCTGTCCAATAGGGTCACTAGCATTGGAATTGACTTGATGACAATAAGTTTGGTTTTTGGTTTGGAAGAGATTTGAGGTGCCTTTTATTTTCCACTTTGAAAGACTGTTAGTAGAATTACAGAAAAGCAACAGAGTAAAATAATGTGTTCACTTCTGCTAGACCTCCTTTCTTCTAAATGTTAAGAGATAAACAAGCCATACATTGTCCAATACAAGTAGCCACTAATCACATGTGGACATTTGAGCCCTTGAAACGTAGCTAGTCCAAAGTAAGACATGCTGTACACACTGGATTTAAAAAGGTTTGTAGTTGTGTTTTACGTGCCGTCAAGTCGGACCCAACTCATAGAGACCCCTCCTTGGGTTTCCGAGGCAGTATCACTACGGAAGTAAATTGCCCCATCTTCCTTCAGAGGAGTGGCTGGTGGATTAGTGTGATTTAAAAGAATGTAAAATCTCGGTGTTTTAAAATATTTACTGCATTTTGAAATAATAGTATTTTGGATATTTTAGATTAAATGAAATAAACCATTAAGATTAATTCCACTTAATGGTTTTTGTTTGTTTTGATGTAGGTCCTAGAAAATTTAAAGTTCCATTTGTGCCTTATATTATATTTTAATTAGACAATTCTCTGCTAGACTAATAGTTTCATCATCAATTACATTACCTATAACAAACTTTAGGTTTTAGAATTATGGAAGTAGATTTGTAGTCTTTGATGTATGAGGATTCTCCAAAAGCAGGATCACTTGTTGTTGTTATTTTTATGTGCCATCAAGTTGAATCTGACTCATAGAGACTCCTCCTTGGGTTTCCAAGGTAGTATCACTATGGAAATAGATTGCCCAACCTTTCTTCCGAGGAGTGGCTGGTGGGTTTGAACTGCCAGCCTTCTGGTTAGCAGTCAAGTGCCTTAGGCACTATGCTACCAGAGCTCCTTACAACTTTCAAAAAATTAAGGAGCATAGAGAGTATCTAGATATATCCTTCAGAGTCTAAGTCAACTAACTTTTCACAAATTACAACAAAAATGCTTTATTTTGGCAACTGTAGAATTAGTTCATATATACACCAATAAAAAGGTATTGATATGTACATACATATGTACATTTATGTAAGATAGACAAATCTTACAAGTTCTACTCATGTTGCTTTACTTAATTTTCTAAGCATAAAGTATTTTAAAAGTTTAACAGACTTATTCTTTATTATAATCCATTTCACATAATTTTGGACATTCTTTAAAGTATCAAGGGAAAATTATAATAGATGGGACTTGCAAATCCTTTGTGAGCATAATAATAGCTCCTAAGAAGAAATTAAGGTGACTTAAGATCAAATTTGTTTTAATACTGAGATTTAAACACAATAGTCATTTTTGACACTAATTTAAACTTATCGTCAGAACTCTTCTATTTGTGACAGTAATTCTTTTCCTCAGAAAAACTATCAGATGTGAAAAATTCAATGGTTACCTGGTTCAGGGAAGGTAGAAACAATACACTTTATCTTTCTGTATTAGAATGAGGATTATTTGCTATTTGAAGATTATTTGTTATTGGTCTATGAATCTCATTCAGAAAATTTAAAACAATTCTTATGACTGATATTTTATGATTAAATATCTTCTTTTTTTGTTACTAAATCAGAGAACAGTTAATTTATGCAATTTATAACACCAGTCAGGATGCTATTCCCTTGTACAACTGAATATTCACTTTTTGAGGTATTGCCAACTCATGGAGGTTTGTACATGGAAATTCACTGTATGCAAAATGCTCTGTGCTCAATAAAATTGTATCTATGAAAATCATTCTCTAGATATGACAGAATGAGCACTTTAGAACAAGATGTAATTTTACAATAGGAACAATTATTCATGTAAGAAGTTACTGGTTATTCAAAAGTAGGTCACTATTTTTTTCTAAAAGAGTTATGAAGTTTTTATGCAAGAACACAGGTAGAAGAATGTTTGTGAAAGCCTACCCAGTTGAGGTGATTGGTTAAGCCTACCCAGGGACCTTATAGCATTTAGTTACAATTTGGAAACACACAAAAGTCAACTTTTAACCTGTTCCGATGTTCTTATGGGTCATGGCTGATTTCAAGCAATCAACCTCTAGCTCACAAAATTCCTGAAAGTGTCATAGTCTGCTTTCAAGTGTGAGTACAAGTTGGTTTCAACACAACACTGTTA